ATCTGTGGTGAAGGTGGTGTTTAAAACCAACAACATGAGCTGGGTCATCATCCATGACTGCTATAACCTGAAATACATGGCAGAATGTGGGTAAAATATTGGGAGACCCATATTTCTCCCCAAAGGAGTTCAGTCACAAATTTAATTATTTTTTAGCATTTGTCATCAATATAGAAGCATATTCTCTGGAATGATGGCTGAAGTCTGAAGGGCCTATTGACATCAAGAAGCAGGTAGCATTATCTTCTGCAAATATAAACAAATTTATTTGTCTGAGCAGCTGGCTGAACAAGAAGTAGGACTGAGTAGACTTGTAGGCACTAAAATTTTCCATTGTTTTTTATTTTTGAATGTAGTTAATTTTTGTACGTAACTTTACATTTTTAAGTTTATTTTTAATGGTAAAGAGATGACACTACAGTACGTTTATGAAGTCAGTTGAAAATACTATCTGTTTATAATTTTTTCAGTGCAAATCTTACTATATATTTTAGAAATGTGTGTTTGTCAGTAATTTGTCCAAGAGCTCCTCCTAAATGGTAAGTGTTAGGACCACAAATTTGGTATGCAGCTTCATAAGGCAAGATAAGGGTTTGGTTGATCCAGAACATTGGGATGTGCCTGGAATTACATTTTCTCATGAAATGGAAGGGTCTTGTAGGAGGGACAGTTGTACTGCATAATGACCACAGGGGCAGCAAGGGGACTGGGACAACTATAAAACCATTGGTTAAGCAGGGGGCAAGTGTGGAGAAAGGCACAGCTATGTGCTATATATTTCTGAGATTTGCCTCTGTCTGTCCCTCAGTTGGGGGACATGCACCCCTCCCTGAGCCGTGCCTGCTGTAGTTGCAGCAGCCATGGACATAGACTTCTCACCTGGCCCCGAGCTGCTGTGGTGAGAGCAGGCTGGGTTGTCTCCTCTTCCCGAGGCAGGCTATGTACTGAACTCCTCATCCCCAGCCAGACCCCAGAACAATGATTTAAACGAAGAAAAACAAATCAGATCCCACCTATACCTGAGCAATGCTGGATAAAACTTGTAGAATTTATAATAAAATATTATAAAGGTGAGCACTGTACACTTGCATTCTGTGTTGTAACTGAAATCAATATATTTGCAAATATAGAAAAACATCCAGAATTGTTTAATACATTTCAATTGGTATTCTATTATTGTTTAACAGTGCAATTAAAACTGCAACTAATTTTAAAATCACTTATTAATTTTTAGTTAATCGTGTGAGTTAACTGTGATTGAGAGCTTGATTTTTGATGCTCTAAGCATGAAGGGCATTTCTATAGAAATCTCTGACAGCCGTGAGAAAAGGCACAACTCTATGAGATCTTGTGTTTTAGATGGAGTAGTTCTTTGAAGTTGGTTTGCTTTTCATCTGAAATTTGACTTTCTAAGTATGCAATTGGAGCCCTTTTGATAAACTTTCTATAGTCACTGAAAATACTGTGATGTGAGGGTGATTTATTTATGGGTGAGAGGAAAAAGCTCACCTCAAAAAGGAATTATTTTAAGTCCATGGATATTCCTTCATTTAGCTATACCAGTAATGTGTTAATTTATCAGGTATATTTTATCTCCAGTTTGCTCACAGACTAATCCCAAACATGATATTCAAAATAACAGAAGGAATCATTTTTATGACTCATTCTTGGAGCCATGTTCAGAGGGAATGCATAAGTTAGTTTCTGAAATGTGTATGTGTAGATTTACTAGTATATGCAAGAGAGTCTAATAATTGTAATAAATATGTTGAAAAAGGTGAAAGTTAAAGGAACACCATCAACTTTAAAAAATCAGGGTGTTAATATTGATCTATGAAATCCTAATTTGGCATAGTCCTGGCTATCTTTCTCTCAAGGAAACCTTTGTGACAGTTATAGTCAGCTGGGGCACTGGTGTTCATAGCTCTGAGATTAAAAAACTACTTTGAACATGAAGTAGTTCTACCAGGGGGGTCTTCCACTCCAGAATTCATTTTCCCACGGGTTTGACCACACTGGAGTTTGGAAACGTTTGGGCTACGTCTACACTGGCCCCTTCTCCGGAAGAGGCATCCAGACTGAGATCTAACTGGAAAAGTCACAACAAAATCTTTCCTACAATGAAGTTCTCGGACCACTGCAGCTCCATGTGTAGGAGTGTTAGTTTAGACCACTTGCAAGCAGCTTTACCACCATGCTGCCTAGATGTGTTCTGTAAAGAATTAAGTTACACTTCGTTAAAAACACGCTGGACACCAGCCTATACATTCCCAATGATGCTGGAATAGGGGTGGCAGATTTAGACTGGCGCGATCCTCTGGAATAAAGCCCTTTTCCGGAGGATCCTTATTCCTTTCTAAGAGATCCTCCGGAAAAGGGCTTTATTCCAGAGGATCGCGCCAGTCTAAATCTGCCACCCCTATTCCAGCATCATTGGGAATGTATAGGCTGGTGTCCAGCGTGTTTTTAACGAAGTGTAACTTAATTCTTTACAGAACACATCTAGGCAGCATGGTGGTAAAGCTGCTTGCAAGTGGTCTAAACTAACACTCCTACACATGGAGCTGCAGTGGTCCGAGAACTTCATTGTAGGAAAGATTTTGTTGTGACTTTTCCAGTTAGATCTCAGTCTGGCTTCTGCCATTTTTCTTATCTTATTTGTGCTCAGATAACTTGTAGTAAGGCACATTTCACAAATCAAAAATGAAATGAGAGTAATTAACTTTTTTTTTAAGATGTCTGGAATGCATGCTACTAATATGAAGAGCTGTCATTTTTTTTATTGTAACTTATTTGGATCTCTGAGTCTTTGTTTAAACTTAAAATATACAGTCGGCAGAGTATCATTTATGGACACGTTACATGTTCAAGTTTATCATGTAATACCAATACAAAGCTCTTTTGTTGTAATAGTCTTTGTTACAAGATTGCCTGTAATATAGGGCTACAAAAATCTAGCTTCAAGAAGTTCATTATAATCTCTTACAATTGAGTGCGCTCTCAGCTCTCAACAAAGACGCCTACAGAGAGGATGCACTCTGTTGGAAATAGGTATAAATATATGCAGTAGTTGTATATAAATTTGTTAACAGAGCCAAAATGATGTCTGGGAAAACTTGAGGATCTTGAGAGTTGTGTAGAACTAACCTAGGTGCTTTATTAAGATAATTAATTCTGCATTGTTCTGCTGGTGAACATGAAATAATACAGTGACATCTTAAAGTTTTTTGTCTGGGAAGCAAAATTTAAGAATGAGTTTGAGTAGAGAATTCACACAACAGTTACAGTATTGTGTAAACAATAACAAATCTGGAATACTAGAAAAAAGGAAACTTGTACTTCTGTTTTCTCCCCCCTTCTGCCTAAGGGTTAGAGATGTTAATCATTGGCAACATTAAATTTGTGTGCCTATTTGAGTGTGAGAATTCCAGTGGTACAGACTTTAGATGCTTGATGTTACGACCTGTACCCACGCAAGGAGACTGAATACCGCATGGATTCTACTGTGTATCTGATGGGTATTGGGGCAGATTGTCCTTGGCACCCAGGCTCTATTCTGGAAAAGGCCCCAAATAGATCAGCAGCTGTTGCACAACAAATTGAAGATGGGCAGCTGCTGTTGCAGTGTGCAGGGCACAGGCTGAGTAGGAAAAAGACTCAGTCATACCCACTTTCCTTCCTCTGAGGTTGCATTATATAATTTGGGGACTGGCCTGAGAGGCGGCAGAAGTTGAGCCAAAATCTAATTTAGGCATTCTATCACATTCATTGCGGATGTGTGTGAGCACTGGGGTCAACCAACAATGACCTCCCATAATTCAGGAGTAAAATCCGCACTCAAACGTGTGGTAGTTGCTACACAAGATAACTAAACTGTGTTAAAAGGATGTGGTGTCTTACCCATTTCAGAAGTGAACACAGAGTTCAGACATAGAGCTTTCCAGCCCATATCCAGAGAGGGTTGAACTTGACTGGAGTTGTGTATTTTTCACTTTCCACTGATGAATGCCCTGGATCAGTGGTTCTCAAACTTTTGTGTTGGTGACCTCTTTCTTGCATCAAGCTTCTGAGTGTAACCCCTCCCCTCCATAGATTAAAAACACGTTTTAACATTTTTTTAGCACTATTATAAATGCTGAAGGTGAAGTGGAGTTTGGGTTGAAGATTGACAGCTCATGACCCCAGCATAGTAACCGTGCAACCCCTAGAGGGGAGTCACAACCCCCTATGTGAGAACCCCTGCCAAGTGTTGGAAGATTCTAATGGTAGGAAATTATACTGCGCTTTTGTAGTCTTACTTCCACGTGATGCTACCTGCAAACTGGTGCTATGTTAAATAGCAGTATGCTAAAATCTCCCCAGAAGGGCATATCAGACATAGGTGCTGGAATTAAGAATGCTGTGGGTGCTGGCTTGAAGTAGTAATAACAACCTAAATACATGGTTTCCTCCTTCAGTACCACCACTGTACAAATTGTTCTAGCACCACTGTCCTATCAAAATTCTGAGAAGTAAAACAGGCGGACTAATTGAAATCAAATCTGAATAGCATCACCTGGAATAGGAATAAGCTTTTATAGTGCTATTACTTCCTGTAGGTGTTGACTGCAACTTACTGTAGCAGGTCAGGTCTCTGACTTTTGCCTCATAGTTTTGCTAACAGTTTAATGAGAACCCATGGCTGTGTGGACCTTGCTATCAGGCACTGAAAGTTCCATAGTGTGTTTTGGCATAATGCTGTTTCAAACATTTAGTGTGTAGAAGTAGGGTCCATGCTTCCATTTAGTGTGTCGCTAGTGTGCTTTAGAGTTGCACTCTGGATTGCCCCATGCTATCTCCACATAGACAAACCCTAACAGAAAGAACCAAGTTACTAACAGTAGGTGTAAGCTCCTTTCACTGACTACAGCATAGACTGTAGCATGTGGAAAGCATATTTCTCAAGGGACAACCTAACAAAGAGAGGGTAACTATGCAAGTTAATTTCCTCATCTTTGTAGCATGATGGCTGACAATAAAACAAAGTCCATTAAACCTGCCAACAAGACTCCTCCAAAGTCTCCAGCAGATCCAGCAAAAGAGAGAGCAGCCAAAAGGCTATCTTACGAGTCAAACAGTTCGCATGAGGGTGCTATGGCAGCAGAACTTAGTGCTCTAGAAGAGGCTTTTAGAAAATTTGCCATCCACGGAGATACCAGAGCCACAGGAAAGGAAATGCATGGGAAAAACTGGTCAAAATTGTGTAAGGACTGTCACGTGATAGATGGGAAGAATGTGACGATCACGGATGTTGACATTGTCTTCAGTAAAATCAAGTAAGTTCCTTCTCTTTCCCCGCTCCCTTGTCTTGTTGTAATTTCACCCTTTCCATGTTTATATTACCCCCTCCAAACTGATGTGATTCATAGAATTAACATTTTATGAGCAATAGTAGGTACAGCACGCAACGTGTACCTCTGCCATCATTATGCCCTTTCATGTTTGCTTTATGCACTTTGAAAATGTTCTTTAAACTTCTGAGCAGCTGTCCTTAGCTGAATTGTTTCATGTCTTCAGCTACAGTACATTCAGGACAGATGCATGTTTATCAGAACAAACTGCTAAGTTTAAAAAAAAAAAAAAAAAAAGCACTGGGTAAGTGTCATGAACGCTTGTACTAAAGGAACTCTGGCTCTGGCTGTAGTTTTGGTAAGTGAGGGGTAAAGCATGTATAGTTCTTTAGGTTTTAAACACACTTGTAAGCCAGAGGGCAGAATCACCAGCTGGGGCAGTTCAAATAGCAACCACAGGCTCTCTTGTTTTGCCTGTTGAAGGCTAAGAAGCCAATCTGATGGAGGTAATAAATAAGATTTTCCTGGTGGTCCTAATATTGTATGGCATGGGATGCATCTGCATCACAAATATGCCATCTGTGTCTCTCTTTTTGTGGCTGAAGCCTTCTAATTATCAGCTGCAGAAAACTGAATGGTGTACTGGTGGTGTAGATGCATGTCCATGCTGCCCATAGATTGGCACCTCCAAGCAAATCTTATTTTTTACTTCAGTGAAAATTGGAATCCTACCTCCAAAAAGGGGGGCGGGGAAGTGAAGACCTGATCCAAAACCCACTGAAGTCAATGGAAAGAAAGTTAGTTTGGTGGACTTTGTATGAAGCCCTAACATTGCTATCTTGCGTTTCCCCTTCAAACTACTCAAGTTTGACCATTTTTGGGAACTCCAGCGTATCAGTTCTTTAGGCCCTTCACCCTTCATTACATAGAAATTGTTTAAATTGCACAACATTGTGTTCTTTTGGGACAAATTTTCAGCAAGATTCCTTAACTTGCTTATAGTTTGGAGGAGTATATGTTTACACGTGCACTAACCCACAGTTTCATGTGCAAATGCTGGTTTGAGGCCATGCAGATTGATACAGCTGCACGTTCAGATAAATAGGCTTGCTAAAAACATGAACCTTGGAGCCCATCAAAGATAAGCAGTACAGAAAAGAAAGGACCCTTTACAGACTGTCCACTGTACATGAATCATGGGACATCATGTAACTACTACTTGAATGTGTCCATTGTTTGTTTGAACAATCTCATCCACTGGCTTTTTCTTAATGTTTGTTGTTTTCTGAGTGGGGAAAAATGCTGTTTGCAGTGTGTTTCTTCTTTCAGCTATTTGTTTCTTGCTCCGTCTTCAGTTGACAAACCACTGTTGACACTCCAATCCTTTTCTTCTTGGGTCAGTCTCTCACCATCTCTGCTCCCATGACAATATCTTTCTGGAGAGTTTGTTGCCATAACCAGGCTCTGTATTTTAATTAGACTCTGTTCGATGAACTCCCCTGGTGTAATAGATGGTGAAGCTTCGAGATGTTTAGGCTTTAATTTTTGTGAATTTTTAATGAATTTGTGTGTTTAATGAATTTAGATGGATAATGTCAGTGTTTATTTTCAAGTATTCCTTGCTTTTATCAATTTAAAATGTCTGTGGCTAGCCTAACAGGAAATGACAAACCCTCGGGCTACTTTCTCAGGCCTTTTTCCATGCAGTAAATGATGTGATAGGTCTTTATTGTTGAAGAAAAAAATAGTCAGTGCACTATGTTGATGGATCCGGAGGACTCAGACCTGATGCCTACTGGTGTGTAGTGGATTCACTTTTGTTGTGAGGGAGTGTAATGTGGTGCCTTTGGAACATGGGACTAGAGAGAGAATGAACTTATATAAACACAAGACACTTCCACTTCCCAGTGATCCTTATGCCCAAGGAGATAACCGATACGATGTATAAAAATAGCTCAGAAACTTGTGATGTCTCAGCCTTTGTTGGAACTACAGATCTGCAGCTATTACAGGGTTAATTGCTTCCCTCTTTAGGTATGGGGATCACTGAGTCTTCCTTCCTTGGGGTGTTGGCTCTTCTGCCTGAAAGAACCCTGTCTTCTGACTTTTCTCCTGGCTCTCTGCTTCCTTTTGGAGCTATGTGGTATAATTATAGCAATGTCGATTCCAGATCTATTCAGTGTGGGTGAAACCAGGCACTTGCTATGCTCTCAGATGAAACCGCACAGAAAAATAAGACACACACCACATTTCCTGTGGGTGTACGCGTTTCAAAAAACAATCGCTTCCTATTTGATCTCAGTTCTCATCCACAACACTTTCAAAAGACAAACCTGTGAGCTTAAACTTACAACTCTGCTAGACACTAAAAATCATGGACTGAACAGAGGTGCTGGATTTATGGTTTATTACACCAATCTATAACTCACTGCCTCTTTTCATCATACTACTACAGAGGTGTTAATGAGCTAGTCTACCTTGAATGGTCCTTTGGCATATTTGCTAACTAGTTATGCTAAATCATCTCTTCCATCTTGCATTTTGCTGTGACATTCTTGATTCCTTTTCCAGACTAGAAGGAGAGCTCTGTGTCCTTTGAATACTTGTCTCTCTTCTCCCCCCCGCCCCCCAAACAGAATTTGGCTCAATAAAAGATATTACCTTCTCCATCCTGTCTCCTTGGAGCTGTCAGCCAAGGATAGTGCTGAAACAAAGCAACTTAGCCTCTTATCCTGTCCCCCACCCCTGGTCAATCAATTGGAGAAACCAGTTTTCCATTATTAATGTGCACACTCGTTGCCTCCTTAATGTCATTCTCCAGTGCCCAGGTATGGTGGAGTCGTAGGACGTAAGTGTTGAGTAGCCACTGCTGGCGGTCTGGTTTTCAGAGTCTTCTACCCAACAGTGCCAGGACCCAGTATTAACCTTCAGGTACTGTTGTTTGTTGATATCTGAAGTCACTGCATTTGTAATAGTTGAAAGATGGAATAATAAGCTTTTCTGTAAATTTTCTGTATAAATTATTATTTTTAGCTATGACACTTCTTTTTTGTATTTTATTGGTGGAAATTTTCAGCTGAAATTTTCAATGAAGACAATTTTCTGACCAGCCATGCTCTTAAGGTATAACTGGAAGTAAGTATGTTAAGAAGCGGCTAACTGACAAATTGTATCGACTAAACGATTAGTTGATAAGGGCCCCCCTGTGGCTCTGCTGTTTAAATGTAGTAGGAGCTGGGAGTGCAAGCGGTCTGGCTCTTACGCATTTAAAATGCAGAGCCACAGCAGGGGTAGGTACGGGACTGAGCAATCCAGGCCCCATTGGGTCCTAGACTGCTGCGCCTCTGCCTCCCCTGCCCCCACCCCCTGCATCATGGAGAGGGTGCTGGGGGGAACCGGCTTTTAAGCCTGCTCCCTGAAGCACCAGTTCCGGCTTCCCCTCCGATCCCCTGTGCTGCCTCTGATACAGAGGCAGTAAGGAGGGCAGGGAGTGAGAAGTCAAGTAATTAGAAGCCTGTGGAATCTGGAAACAATTTAAGCTTAGTGAAATCAGTTTTCAGTCAGAATCACTGTGTCTATATGTATGTGGCTGCTAGTCTGGGATGCAGGATAGCTTCTGAAAATAAGGAATAGATGATCACTGCTGACTCCTTTTGTTCAAAGTCATCTGAATGATGGAGTTACCCTTTTATGCTACAGGAAATAATTCTCTTCCCCCCCCCCGCCTCCGCAGAGTGCTGGTACTGGTCGGACACACTGGAACTTTCCTTAGGAGGTGCTGAACACCTTGCAGGCTCTGGCAATCTTTCTCAACATGAACAGTATTTATTGGACTAAGCAAACATAATCTATGAAGATTCTAGTGAATCTGCATGGTTTGAAAGGCAAGTTTCCTTGCGACTTTTTAAGGAAGTCCAGCTAAGGTTTATTATAATACACAACATTGATGATGAAATCATGTGTTAGCTTAGTTACTGTTAAAATGTAAAATTCAGAGTCACTGTCAGTCTCCAGGTGAATACTTGAATTCAGATTGGATTGTACTTATGTTGGTGGTTTTGTGGGAGGAAGATATACAGGACAGAATATGAATTTAACAGATCTGGGAGTGTCTAGCTTCTGAATGTAAATTAGAGTAAGAGGAACACACAAAAATAGAGATGATTAGAAAAATATGAAAGTGTATGTTTTTTTTTTTTTTAATGGGGAATGTGTGTTTTTTGTTTGATAATCATCTGGATATTTGAAGACACTTAAGACACCACCCATAAATCCCAGATGTTTGATGGATTTGAGTACAAATTACTATAATCTAATATTTAACTCTAGAAATGCATTATTTGCAAGGTCCAACTTACTTTGTGATCATGCAGAAATTGCAGATTCCTCAAAATTTAATTGGCATACTTTTCAGTTTATGGTTTTGCATACACATTGAGATTTTAAACATACTTTTTCCCCATTTGTGCGGTAGAACCCCATTAATCCAAACTGATAGGGGCTGAGGCTTGCACTGTCAGCCCTGTGCACTAATGATGAAATACAGTTGCAGCAAAATGTCTAGTTTCTAAAAAAAATTGCAGGCAGGAAATAATACTTGAGTGTTTATATTGTTCCAGCAAATTTTTCTTAAATAGGCTTTCTCTGGCTTTACCAAATTACTGCAGTTAATAAAATTACATTATTACTTTTCTGCAATTTTTCCATGTCCTGTGTACAACTCAGTTGCAATTATTTGACAGTCATCTTGTGATTCAAGTAGGGCCTGTATTATTTTCTATTTTATCCCTGTTCATTGCTCTTCACTTTAAAAACTTTGTCACCCAGTCATAGAATATAAGCAGAGATTACTAGTTACAGACTGCAGATAGTTGCAGGGTATTTATGCATGAAGCATGCAATTTGGTAGAAATTGGGATTATCAACAAGAAAAAGGACTAAATTAACAACAAATAATTAAACCAGCTCTAGTTTAAAAAGGTTAA